TCATGTTAAACCAGTGGTTCTCAACCTTTTTAATGCCGCGACCCCAACCGGTCGTAAGTCGAGGACTAAACCGGTCGTAAGTCGAGGACTAAACCGATCGTAAGTCGAGGACTACCCAACCAGTCGTAAGTCAAGGACTTTCCCTGCCCGGGAGTGCCGCGCATGCGTGGTTCCACCCCCTGCGCCGGCCGAGGCGTAGCTGGCAAGTGGCAGAGACGGAGCAGGCCGACCACCAGCTGGCCCAGCCCAAGGGAGGTAAGGCACCCGCTGGAAAAGGGGAAAAAAATGGCGGACAGCCTTGCTTGGTGACCCCCAGCTGGCCCAGCCCAAGGGAGGTAAGGCACCCGCCGGAAAAGGGGGGAAAAATGGCGGACAAAAAAAATGGCGGACAGCCTTGCTTGGCGACCCCCATGAAATGGTCGATCGACCCCAAATGGGGTCCCGACCCACAGGTTGAGAACCACTGTGTTAAACCATTGTTTAATGAAAATTAAGTGCACCACAACTGGCTAGGTTCATACAATATGCTGCCATAAACCATAGTTTATAAATCAGAACTGTTGGGTGTAACACATTAAAACAAATCATCTTCTGGATTGGCTGGTATGTTTACTCAATCTACTATTACAGAGATTTAAGTTCCAATCACCGTTCCAGGTTTAAATATCACCCAGAGCAGTGGTGGGATTCAGCTGGTTCGCACCACTTTGGCGGAACCGGTAGCTAATTTTTTGTTGCCCAGGCCCAGAATGGACTTCCGGAAGCAGCATCCACACAGAGAACCGGTTGTTCACATATTTGAATCCCACCACTGATCCAGGGGAAAATATGTGTTGACTTTTGAAAGAAGACTGATAGTTAAATTGGTTTTATTTTTCTAGTCTATACTGAACTCTGCAAACTAAACCACAGTTCATGAGGATTTGTGTCTCTCTCTCTGTGTGTGCATGTGATGGAAATAAACTTTATCAATGCTTGTTTAAAACAATAGTAGCTCAGATCTGCGTTATTTAACTATCACCCTTGGGTCTGGGTGTGCAATCCCAGACTGCACACATTTGAATATCCCCCTTCTTCATTTGCTTGAGCAAAAGGCAATCAAACCTTTCTCTCCTGTGATTGTGAGCAGAAGGCACAACTGTTGTTCCTGTGCTTTTAACAGCCTTTTAATATCTAAGAAATTGTCATGGCTATATAAAGCAAAATCACCTGCCCCTTGCGCATAACCTTAATTGTGAAGAAGGTGACAATTCTTAATAAGATGCTAATGAGAAGTAACACCCATTTTCAAAAATCCCTGAGACTGCACTTTAAATATATCCTATATGGAAAGGAAGGGTGTGGGGTTAAGAAAGAAAATAGGTTTTGTTCATCCAGCTGGAATATATCCAACTTTGAATGATTTTAATAAGCTAAGCTGGGTCAGACCTAATCGGATCTGGCTGGGAAAAATTCATAACTGTAAATATTAGGACTATACAGGAAGAAGGTCAGTTCCATATTGCTGCCTAAAGTTCTAAATTGACTATAAAATAACAAGCTCAAACAACAAAAATATGTTTTAATATACAAGAGGAAAATTGCATTACTATCCGTGGCCACCAGATGGAGAAATATATTCTAAAACTGACAGTTTTATATTAATTTGCAAGAAAAAAAATCCCAGACATTTATGTTCTATACCTATTTGTTAGTTATTTCTGTCCTTTAGCCCATTTCTTTTTCTCAGAGATTCCATTACTGTGGAATCCAGTGGGCAGTAATGTATTCTGGAGTATTTCTTCATATTTTGCACCTTTATAAAGATTTTAAAGTTCAGTCACTTTGGGAATAAATAAACCAAGCAATGAAACATAATATAATCCAAGTTATTATGTATAATATATTCTAAACAGAGAAAATACAACTACTATTAAACTTTTCTCAGTAATAATATTGATGGAGTGCTATTTTATGCAGTTATGAAACTCGCGAAGCTGAATGCAAATTCCATTATTTACTTTGTGTAGCTCCACAAATAAACAATAGAACCATATCAATTGCACTACCATGTAGCATATTCAAATCTAGACTAAGTAGTTGAAAGGTATTTTCTGTGATGTTGGTGGAAAATGGCATTCACATATAGTATGATTAGATATATATATAAAATCTGAATACATGATTAAGCTTGTACTTCCCTAAAATAGACATGCTAGCTTAAATATTTCTGGATCTTTCTCAAATGCATTAAATCTCTGTAGAAAATCAGTAATTGTGTAATTATAACATATAATTACAGACACACACACATACATGTAAATGTGATTATGGAAAACACCTTGAGTATATCTGAAGACAAATGAATGCGTAGATTTCATACATTGTTAGAAAGCTAAATGAGGCATAAATACCTTCATTTTAGAAATATTTACATTTCAGAAATTAACCATTGGATGGACAGAGAGAGAAAAAGTATGAAAGTATGCATGTAGAAGTTTGTAAGTACAGACTGGCAATATTATTCAGTGCTTAGAATGTGGCATTCAAGATATGAGAAATTAGAGTAGATAAATGTCACAGCTTAGACCATTTATCTGGGAAGCCTCAACTTTCTATCTGTAAAATAGCTTAAAAAAGGCTAAGTGTCTTCAGTAGACTTTTCAGAATAAATAATTACATTCCCCGGTAAGATCCTTTTATTCAGGGCAATTTGCTTTGTGTCTTTGTATCCTAATGCAGGAAAAGTTTTTTAAAAGTATCTAATATCTCAAGTCTTCAATACAAACATTGCTTTTATTTATTAATAAATATATATTATTATATATTTATTGTTTTATTTATTTCCACCTGAGAGGAAGATAAGAAACAGATAATTAAACACATGTCCTTAACTTATCTTCTGGCAGAAGGACTCACAATTATTTTTGCTCCTATGCCCTATGCAAATCAGTGGAGGATAGTCATATTTTCCATCTGGCTACCTTTTAAACCAGGTATGTCCAACCTGCAGCCCATAAGCTACATGCGGCCCTGGACAGCTAGCAATGCAGCCTCCCAAGATAATAAAAACATGCCAAAAAATAAAGGAAGTTTGTTATTTATATACATTAAGCATACTATATATTCTATATGTAGCCCAAGATAATTTCTCTTCACTCAATGAGGCCCAGGCAAGCCAAAAGGTTGGACAACCATGTTTTAAACAATCCAGAAGCTTTTATAGTGTTACAGCTGATGCTAGGTGTGCCACTCCATCAATGCACCTTAAAAATACTTTGGGCTGAACGTGGCTCACTTAGGCTAACAGCTAAGGTAGGGTAGGTCAGAGCAGACCCAAGATGCTGAAAGAATAATCAACCTTACATTCTGCTTTAAGCCATGCTTTGTTCAATTCATGGTCTCTTAAATAAAAAACCACAGTTGACTGGCCTCACTAAGTTCACTACATGGCTGGGTTCATTCGGATACAATAGTGGAAAGCAGCTCCTGTGTTCCTAACCCAGTACTTTGTGTTAAAAATTAGCAATTGTAGACCCCGGAGGAGAGGTATGAAGGAACTCACCTTCTACATGCTTGGAGCCTTCTGAGATCTGGCAAGAAAGAAGCAGGAGAAGCAGCAGGGAGGCAAACCTAGACATGGTATTACAAGATACAGGATGTTTCTTGGGAATCCTCAGTGTGGGGGCAGGAGAGGGGGCTGCTTTCCGAAGGTGGGACGCAGCGGTCAGGTCAGTCCTATGTAAGGAAGGGGTGACAGGAAAGGGCTGAAGACCCAAGATTCTTGGGTGCTCTAGGGACTGATCTGGAATTCTCTTCTGAAGGATGAGGAGCAGGACTCAGCCTTACAGGTTGGGACAACTGTATAAAATCCAGCAGGGATTCATTCTCCCGTGGGACTATATATCCATTTCTTCAGCCCTGCAGCCAAAGTTATTCATTAATAAGGCCCTGAGAGCGCCCTGCCAAAGGGCAGGCTGGCTTCCACATTTGTCACCAGGAACTCTGAACTCAAAAACAGGGATCAGGAGATGGGGATGGACCCAGGAGTCCAATTCCTCCATTCATCGGATTCACCCCACCACCACCACCACCACCTGCCACATCATTCATCCAGGAAGAGGCCCGGGGAGCAAATCCAGAACTTCCTGACCCTCCTGGTTGACGTTTCTCACAACACCCCATTTCCTTGCTCAGTCTGCCCTAATGCTGCTTCTTCTGCAACCCCATCCAGGAGATATTCTTTTTTTTCTTTCCTTCTCAACCACGTTGCTTTAGACCCACCTATTGACTTGTCTTACAATGTCCCTTGAAGAGATGGGCTTTGTTTTGGGTGGGTGGCTGGGTAAATAGGTGGGATCTCTTAATAGGAGAAGGCTGGATTCTCTAAGGAGATAGGGTGCAATTAAAAAAGGAATTTAGAAAGGTCTCTCTCTCTCTCTCTCTCTCTCTCTCTCTCTCTCTCTGTGTGTGTGTGTGTCCTGCTGGCTCCTTGAAGAAAGGCAACCGTTATGCTTTCTCTTTAAACTCTAACTCCTCCTTCCCAGCTTCAGCCTCCACCTCCAAACCTCCCTGAGCAAGAGAGGCAGATCAGTCACAACCTGTTTCTCTCTCGCGCTCTGAGCTTTTCTCTGCTGCTCCGTATCTCCCTCCGTTTTCTCCTCTCCCTTCTTCTCTTTTCCTTTCCTTTGCTCCGCTCCCCACTTCTTTGCTCTTCTATCCAGTTGCTCTCTTCCTCTCCCATCCCTTCCTCGGCATCTCCGGATCTTTCCCTCCATCCTTTCTGCTATCCCCTTCTTTGCAAACTCTCTCCCTCTCTCTCGACCAAGCATCCCTTCATCTTCCGCCCGTCCTCTTTCCCTGCCCTTCATCGACCCACATCTCCCGCTCCCATTTCCCTCCTTTGGGCGGTGGATCCCTCCCTTCCACCCTCTGTCCTCTCCTCCTCCCCTGCCGTCTGTTTCCCCGGCAGCCCTTCGTCTTTGTGGGTCAGGGCACCGGGGCTTCCCCCAGGGGGCAGCATGGCGCTCTTGAGCTCCCCCACCGAGACCGAGTGCTTAACCAAGCCGCTCTTCTGCCGCAAGGGGGCGCTCCGTCAGAAGGTCATCCACGAGGTGAAGAGCCACAAGTTTACCGCCCGCTTCTTCAAACAGCCCACTTTCTGCAGCCATTGCACAGACTTCATCTGGTGAGAGAAACCTCAGACCCTAACCCCCCCCTCCCCATTTGCTTTGACCCCTGTGGGCTCTTTTCTACTACCCAGCTCATATGCTACAACCCTGTGATGGTTTGGATGTTATTGCTTTGCCAAAAAGCTGTATTTTTAAAAATTCCCGTCCAGGTGCTGGAAAAGTGCAGAACTGAGCAATAGATGCAGAATTTAGTAGGCTGGCTATCCTGTTATTATTTATAGATTTATTTAGGGGTGTATATGTGCCTTCCTGTGCAGATCATAAGTTTCTAGTCCTCTTTAAGGAGGTCCAACCTTACTTTAAATCAGAAGAAGATGTGGCTTTTGATTTGAAGAGATGAGATGGCTGTGTGATGTTTTAAAATTTTTGTGACAATCAATTAAAAGCCTGAAGATGCAAGATGCAAGAAAATGCAGAATTTGGTCAGGTCACAGATTTTACTGCTCCTTGCTGGAGAATTTCTAAAATGTCAGCCCAGAAGGATTTTCTTTCTGTCCACGTTGAATTAAACAGTGGTTTCTATGAGTGCTTCCAATTACACAGGTCCTAGCACTCTTAGCCAAAATATGTTGAATGGTGATACCACCTTTCCATCTTTACAAGATTTTCTGTAGGGATAATGGATAATATAGAAAAACATGAGAGACTGACAAGAGGAAAAAAGCCTTATCTGCGTTGTAAAATTCTATAAGTAAGGCAAGATGTTTACACTTAAGGTACACTTTGCTGATAAGGGAACTTTCTGTGTTAATGTGTTGCCTTTAACGATCTTGTCAAGCCCCAACGAATGGCTTCGTGCATGTATGAACTCTTCCTTCCTTCCTTTCTTTCTTTCTTCCTCCCTCCCTCCCTCCCTCCTGTCATTCCACTATGTTTTTCTGTAGCTCCATAGATTTTTGAGGTGCAACCTGATAGTTTAAAATCTATAACTCTGCTGCTCTAATTCTACCACTTTGCCTCTTCAGGCTTCTGTTCTTCAAACATAATTCCATATTTCTATTACAGTCCACAATTGTTCATAATTCCATATTTCCATTTCTGTTCCAATCCACAATTCTACTTCATTTACTCAATAATCCTATTTAACTGTTCTTTATTCTGATAGTCCTCTAAACCTTGTCATACATTTGGCCCTCTTTCTCTCCTAAAATTTGTGGTCCTACGTAATTGTAGTTGATCCCATCCATGATTTCATCTTAAGGGACTGAGTTAAGTATGTCCTCGGCTTCAGTCAGAGTTCTGCTTTTTGGAAATTTAATTCTGTAACAGACCTGGAAAGTATACCATGTTACGTTATGATAGACAAGATAATTTGTTTAAGAGGCTTGGCTCTGGATACTTCATTTTATTGAAGTATCCAGATATTTCTTGTCATTTTTCTGCTCATAATGCTATCTTCCATTTTATCCCTCCATTTTATCCCATGGTATATATACAGCATATTTCTAGAGCTAATAAGCACATAAGTCAGGCCATGAGACTGATAACGTTTCTAACTTGTCATCTGATGAGCTACAGATGCATTAACTGCTTTCATGGAGAAGATCATACAGAATCTCAAGAGGCTTTTTGAGAGTGTGTGGGCACCTTATCATTGAAAAATATCATGTACAATGAACCTCCTATATGTATTAAATAGGGAGGTAGAAGATGGGTCCTTCCTTTCTGATGATCTGTATATATTCCATTCCTACATGGCAATTCCAGCATTCAAAGTGGGTGTGACAGATAAAATAAGAAGATTGCAGTATTCAAAGAACAATGTGACCTGATTATACCTCCCTCCACGGGGCATCCCTTGTACAGCATATCTGCACTGGGAAATCAATTCTAGCAAGTAGCATGTCCTTGAATTCTCTCTCGCCCCCCCCCCCAACCCCCAGTCTCCAGCAAGTAGTGACAACCTTCACACATGTTTTATTTCCTCAGCTGATAATGGATAGAGATCTTGAAATGTAGGAAAAGCCAATAGGTGGGTGCCATTGTCCATTGTCGGTAAGGTTGGCAGGATAAATCAGAAAGGCTGGATTGGTACCTGCAAGAGAAGGAACACAGGAGTATGATTCTCACTTAAATATCAGAAATGATTATCTAATTGATAAACCTCCCCATCCTCTCTTCCATCACTTTTCAAAGCAAGGAATATCCTCACTATGATCATCCCTTCTCTAGCTCTATTAACTTCAGAAATACAAAGATCTATTCTTAAACGATATAGCCTGTTTTGTTTGATGCCTCTGAGAGCCATCACGATGGTGAGTTCTCTCTCTGAATATGTATTACATATATTTGCTGCCTTGAGTTATTTGTAAAAGTAGTAAAGACAAGATAAAAATTTAAAATAAATTAATTCAAATAGAAAAAAAGGCCCAGCAAGACTTAATATGCGATGTAAACTGAACATGCTCAGTTCAGTAAAGATTGGATTGTGGGGGGTTTTTTGGTAGAAAGCTGAAAATGTTTGGCTCTGCAAACATTGAGACGTTCAGCTAGGCCTGCTGATGACTCCCTCTTATTTCACAGATACCTATAATCATTTTTTTATTTAAATGAAAGCAGTATTGGAGGCTAAGAATGTCAGTGGAGAGGGTGTATGTGTGAGGGAGTGAGAGAAGTGTGTATAGTGTGTGTGTGAGAAAAAGGAGAGAGAGAATATAAATATATATAGCTTAACTCTTTTCATTGTAGATGTTTTTTTCCAGCTAATTTCTCCAGCAACATTTCTCATTTTATGGACGCAAAAAATAGAGATCTTGTCCACTCTATTGGCTGAAGTCATTTTTAGGGCTGAAATGCAATTTTTTTCTCTCCCTTCCCCTATTAAAACTGTACCCATATTGTTGCTTGATCCAGAACTTATCAGTTCATCATATGAGTACTTACACATTTTATCTTGCAAAGCCAAAAGCAGCTATGTCCATAGATTGTGTCTGTTTTTGTTTCCCCAACCTATATCTAAATCTCTCCTTTGGCCTATCAGCTGCCACAATTTACTCAAACTTGCGAACACAGATCCTATCATAGATCTCTGACATCCTGTCCCGAGTAGACTTCATGCTGCATCTCTTTTCTGTTTCTTTATGCCAGTGTTTCCCAACCGTGGCAACTTGAAGATGTTTGGACTTCAACTCCCAGAATTCCCCAGCCAGCCATGCTGCTGAAGTTCACACATCTTCAAGTTCCCACAGTTGAAAAACACTGGCACAGAGTTCTGAGGTTCTGCTTTCTGGCCGAATGACATCTGAACAGGGTTCAGTATTTTATGATGGCTACTTCTGGGATTCTTTATGTGACTGGTTCCACAGCTCAGCAAGTGACAATGAAGCAATAATAAAGAGGATTGGCCCAATATGATGGGGAAAAGTTTGGTGGTTCAGGCAAAAGATTTTGAGAGAAAGACAGCTGCACGGCAGGAAGCAGTACTGAGTTAGTGTCAGGCCTTTGTTGAACTGGGAAGATCTCAAATGGCCAATCACGTGACTCCCGGACTGTCAACCGTCATCAATCCACGCTGATTGCCAAATACCTTAATTTTAATCATAAGATCGTGGGGATTAGTTCATGACTCCTTGAAGACAGCATAGAAACAAGTCTTTTTAATGATCAACTCTGCCAACATTTTCATTCTGATTGAAGAGGGACCACTAGGACTTGCCCCTTAAACACCAGTTCTTACCCTCCTATACAGCTATTCCTTAACGTATGATCACAATTGGTACCTAGAACTTCCATTGCTAAGCTAGGCAGTCATTAGGTGAGTCATGCCCAATTTTACGACCTTTTTGCTGGGTTTATTAAGCAAAACACCGTAGTCATTAAACGAATCATGCATTCATTAAGTGAATCAGGCTTCCACCATTGACTTTGCTTGTTAGAAGCTAACTGGGAAGATCTCAAATGGCCAATCACGTGACTCCGGCACTGTCAACCGTTATCAATCCATGCTGATTGCCAAATATCTTAATTTTAATCATATGATCGTGGGGATGCTGCGAGTATCTAAATTGCAAAGGCTGGTTGTATGTCTTTTTTTTCAGTGCTGTCATAACTTCAGACAGTTGCTAAGATAAGATAAGATAAGATAAGATAAGATAAGATAAGATAACCTTTATTGTCATTTTTTTTTACTATGGGCACAACGGCACACATCAAAAATGAAATTTAGTTGCCTGCTCTCAAAGTGAAACACATACATGACACACATCTAAACATACTATGTACAACATATGTATAGACCCACACCCCTACATATACATAGCAAATAAATATTAAATACTGTCCATCTTGAATATATAACGGAAGGAGGAAGCTTGAGAGTTCACATGGTTAATGCTGTATGGAATGAAACTCTGGCTGAATCTGGATGTTCTGCTATGGATAAATGAATGGTTGTAAGTTGAGGTCTACCCGTAACCCAAATTTGGTGCTCAAATGGATCTGTAGTACATATATAAATCCTTTATAGCTTGAATCTCAGGTAAATATAATGAAAAGGGAGGGGATTCTGAAAACCTGAAGCAGAGAAGCAAGCAAGGATGGCTCAATACCGTAGTCTGCAGCAAAGAAGATACGAAATGTCAGGTTGCAGTCTTCCATACTTTCAGGAAAAGTTGGCGGAATAGATTTGGTGGAAAATAGCACAGCAGTGAACTTTAAAAGAGCGGATTGATAAAGGCATCAGAAAACAAAAATAAATAAACCACAGTTGGCAGCAACTGCACGTAGGGAAAAACCTGGCCAACATCGTCCAAGAAAGTGGAAGTCTAAGAGGAAATTTACCACTGCTTGTACTTATTTATGTATACTTTGCTCTTTTGCTGGTGAGACGATTAATAGAAACAGGATAGTTCCTGCCCTTGTCTTGACAAGCCCCGAAAGACATAACAGAAATGGAAAAGGTGGTGGGGAATGAAAAAGGGCCAAAAATCCACTTCTTAATTGCATCAGTTGCTAATAATGACTACTTGTAATATTGGGAGAAGTTATTAGTGTGTTC